AAATCTTATCTTATAAAACCAGTGGAACTTCAAAATCGTTAAAATTCATGGCTCCCGCCGCATTGCGCGGGTACATAACTAGTAAGGTTAGTTATGTATAATATAAATATCTTTTGGGCTTTCTTTAATTTTATTTGTTTTATATGTGTTAAAACAATATATTACAGGTTGATTTTTTATGATATTTTTGATAGTTCTTTTTCTTATTCTAGAATTTCTATGAGTTATCTTTTGGTTGCGCAAATGTTCATTGCTCAATTTATTGTCAATCCAAACAGCCCTACATGTTTCTTTTTACAACAAAACAAGAAAACGAAAAGTTGGAGTTAGATTTCTGCAATGCCTTAGAATTGACTCATCGTATATTTTAAATTTTCCAATATGGTTCTTTTTTGCTTCTTTCAATTGATTTTCTTACATCAATGTAAGTTGAAATATTTGAAGGAGACATATTTATGTGGAGTATTTTTTATTCTAGAGTTTGTGTCAGATTTCTTAATATTCCCGTCGTTATCATTATTCATTTTATTTAGTTTTACAACTTTATTTCTAAACAAATCTTTATCTCTCAATATATATATATATATATATATATATGTGTGTGTGTGTGTGTGTATACATATTAAAATTTTACTAATTATATTTAATTTAACTTTTTCGAATCATTTGAATACTATTTGTTGATGATTCTACTAACAACTAATATATATTTATATAGACAATCTTTAGATCATTAATCAAAATACTCATGCTATCGCACAACGTGCGATTCCCATACTAGTTAGTATAGGAATTGTTTTTCATAATATACTAACTACAACTCCTCATGCTGTTTATATTATTAGTTACATGTTTTTTTAAGAAATTATTTTGTATTTCAATGTATGGTATTTACATTTTCGAATTGTTAATAAAAACAAATAACAATAAATTAATGTAATAATTATAATGTAAGGTGCTCTGTATATGTAAAGAATGAGATAATGTTAATTAGGATTGGGAGTCAACGCAGGGACTAAGGAGCGCAATGAGTGCTATATTATATTATAAAGCATTTGACAAAAAATTTTAAAAACCATTTTTTATGTATAAAGTATTGTATTAAAACATTTACAGAGACGAAATAAATGAAACATTAAAATCGAGATATATTTCACTATATTGCACGAATACCTTTCTAGTTAGTTAAAATACAGATAGAGAACCCACTCAAGATATCAACCACATATAGAAAGCCCCACTTGAATGTGCATCTAATTGCCACAACCATATCTAAAATCCAACAAATATTGATTGTGGGTCGGGGATCAATTCCCCTCTAAAGTGCAATTCATAGGTGGACATGAGATTAAAAGTGATCAAGGTTTAGATCTTTCTTTCGCTTCTCACACAATCCTTCGTTACAAGGGGAATTCAAATTGATGGTAGGTACCATATGATAAGTGAATTATGATAAAGAGTTACAGGTAACCATTGCCAGAATGCTCCATCCCTCATTCATTCTCAATTAACCATTTGAAATATTTCCACCATCATATTACGTTTGTATGTTATACAATTCAAACAAGTATTATAATAAAAATCCCTTCACCCAATATATTGTGCTGGATTTAGGAGGGTGGAGCGGTTGTTTCCATCAAGACCCTTGCCGTCATAAGAGCAAGAAAGGGCAAGAAGAAAAAGAATCGATCTGCAATCAAGATGATCCTTGATGTTTGGACTTCGTGTAACCCAGAGAATTTAGCTTCTGAATCAGCTTCTTTTCCGCTTCTGCCTATAACCGCAACAGGGTATGATTTAGGATCAGAGAGAGAAATCATGATTACCGAAAATAGCTAAATTTGTGTCTTGTATGGATAAAGCTGACTATGTGGATTTATGTGTGTGTAAGGATTGGGAGGGTTTTTGTTTGGAAAGGTTTTTTCAAAGATGGTAGGAGCCTTTTTTTTTAATTGGGAGGGACAGGTTTGGAAAAACTTGGCCTTCTACATAAAGGCTCCCCTCTAGAAGCTTACCGAATAGCCACCTTCTATATCATTAAGAAGTCATGTATAACTAACCGAATAAGCTATGAATCCCATTAAGCTCATTAAGTTGTTAACAAATAGGCCCCAAGGAAGATAGATAGAGAGAGAGAGAACCTCAAGCATGGGACTGTCTTTCGGAATGTTGCATGCCAATGTCACAGGAAGTCCAGTCTTCATAACTACAAAAAATGTTGCATATCAGTTCTCGAACTAAATAAATGCATTTAATAATGCCAAGGCTATGTTTGGATACTAGCTGATAAACTAAATGTTGGTTGAGAAGCTAGGTGTTAATGAACAAATGGTAAAACCTAGTTGACAAAGTATCAGTGCGTCAAAATTACCTAAAAGAAAAATATAGCATTTATGTAAAAGGGCTATAGTTGGAGAAAAAAGAAAGCCCCAATAAGCTATCTAAATTAGCTGTTAAAAAACGTAGCTTATGGTTTACCAAGCAAGACTTTTTCAGTAATAAGATAGGTTATGGTTGCCAAACATCGCCCAAGTGCTTACCTATTCTACGGGCAATACCAGACCCTGTATTATCAGAGGTACCACCAAGAAGCGAGCTTACACTAACTACGTTGTTCTGCAGAAATAGTCACAGTATTATAATGAGACATGATTTCAAGGAATGTAAGATATATATATATATATACACACACAATTAATTATATTGTATATATTAGTAGTCGTCGTTCAAATTCGGAAAAAATTAGTACAAGTGGCAGAAGATAACACATTCACAAGTGAAAACTTACTGGTCTTGTGGTTGCAGCAGCATATAAATGTCCAAATTTGGCAGAGTTGCAACCGATCCATGCATATATCTACAAGAAATGTGGCACATGAGCAAAGCAATTAAAAATTTTATACAAACAAAATCACATGAAGCCTTACAATTATTCCCAGATAGTCCATCATCCATAAATACATTTAGATCTCAAATTTCCCATTAAAAAACTAACTGAGAAATGCCACATTGTTGCCTATATATATATATATATGTATATATATATATGTATATATGTATATATGTATGTATATATGTATATATATATGTATATATGTATATATATATGTATATATGAACTCTTGGTGATTTCCATACTTTTCCATACCTGTGCATGTCTTTCAAATGGATTTTCTGTTTCAGTTATTCACCGACCATTTCACTCTTGTTATAATAGTAAGACCTCTTGGTGATTTCCATACTTTTCCATACCTGTGCATGTCTTTAAAATGGATTTTCTGTTTCAGTTATTCACCGACCATTTCACTCTTGTTATAATAGTAAGACCTCTGAGTAATCAATCATTTAATGTTTTTAAGTATATATTTACATACGTAAAAACTCACACACACTACTCAGTCCTCACTTTTGGTGTGAGGCTTGAACCCTTGACCTCCAAGAATAATGTTTGCTTTATTTGGTCACTAGTCATAACCTTCTTTAGTGGTTAAACTCTTTCACACTTTTTTTTCATAATCCGAGGTCTTCACTCGCTCTAGTCTTTGAGGTAGAGGTCAGGTTTCGTATATCTTACCCCCACATCCCACCTCCAGGTGGAATATACTAGGCTCGTTTGGTTTGGTTTTTGTTGTTGATCTTTCTAGTTTCTAGTGAAACTCGAATGTAAATCTGGTGGATATAGATTCTTAAGACAGAGGGCCATAAGCAAAGTTGTTAAACGCACTTAGGCACGAAGGGGTCCGAGGGCCCGGGCCAAGGCATGGCTCCAGTTAGGCATGGGAATGGGGCGGGAACCTCAATCCCCATCCCGTCTCTGATCCCTCATCTCCGCCCCCGTCCCCACCCGGGAATATGATCACATCCTCCATCCCCAACGGGGAATCGAGATCTCCAACAGGGAAACAAGGATCTTTTTTCCAGTTTATGTAAGCTATTTTAAATCAAATCTGTGACACACCATACATGTTTAAACCTCACATATTTCCAGTAAACCTAAAATCATTAGAAATTTAATTTAATAAAAAAATAAAAACATTATATAATAATAAATAACCTAAAACCAAAAGAAATTTAATTTAATCAAAATAAACTACGGCACAGGTACCAAAACATATCAAGTAATTGTATTTTGAATTGACATCCAAAATGTTGCATACTAACATCCAAAAAGATAACAATTTTAGATTCTAAACCTAGTTAGAAAATACAAAATTATGAATTACCGATTTAGTTGAAATAAATAATATTCATTTAAATTATTAATTAATATATACAACGGGTATGGGGCGGGGAGTGCGATACCTTTCCCCAGCCCCATCCCCGGTTTGAGACAAACGGGGATACCCGTCCCTGTCCCTGACTGGGGCCCTGGGGGTGGACCGGGCTTCCCGACAGATCGGGGCCCATTCCCATGCTTAGCCTCAGTAAAACGAGGAGCATCTTAATAATATATACACACAGAATTAGACACAACTCAAACAGGGTTTAGCATAAGGTACAAGCTTCCAATGCAACAACCAGTAGTGTAGAAGGGGGAAGGGTTTAAAGCGTGAGCCGTGAGGGAGAAGTTTTATGGTCTTGGTATTCATATAGGAAGTTTGAAGTTCTAAGGACTGGGTATTTAACTTTAGGGTGTGACTTATCTCATCTATTTAATAACTCTTTCTTTAAGAAGTCTAGGAGATAAGAAGATGAGAAAACTTATTTAATATTAGGATTTGACTGGTATTTAGTAACTCTTTATCAGGCACGCCTAGGCCACAAGGTGCCTCTGCCAGGCGCAACGCATAGTGAGCCTCGTAAATACGCCTCGACTAGACTTCAAAAAAACTCAAGACCTTGAGCCTTATGCGTCTCAGGCACCTTTGTAACAACTATGACCATAAAATAAATAAAAATCACTAATTTATTTGAGAATCCATCTATGATAGTTGGTATTACAGACTACAGTAGAGAGAAGTTGGACTACCATCCATCAAGTTGTGCGTGCTTGATTGGAACTTATAGTTTCATCCTAATCTCGTGAGATTTGTAAACCAACTTCCATTAGTTTTTATTAATTAACTCATTGTGCTCAAATTCAAAAACAAATACCCTAGTCAGGGTTGGCTCACACCAAGCTTTCTCAACAGATTCCATTCACTCAGCTAACTATTAAAGGCAAATGTAACAAAAATGAAAAACATAACCATGAAGTTAACAATTCGCACATGGGAAACCCAAAATCCATCTCCTTCACAGAACACCATCCTAGATTATAAATACCTTAACAATGTCAAATATTTTTGTAGTAACAACATACATTTAGACGACCAAAAGAAAAAGAAGAAATATAACGCCACAATTCCTTAATGGGTGTTGTTAACTTCTTATGATACTATTAAGTCTTGCATGTGAACTTGAACTTAACGTTATTTCTTTCATAACTTACGGTTACATCAGATTTCAAACACTAGCGGAAACGTAACTCAATAGCTTATAATACAACAAAATTTTGCTATTGATTATAACAATACTACTTCATGCAAATCCTCTTTACTCCTTTGAGATACATACATGAAATATGTAAGCTGAAAGCTTCAGTGAGTAGTTATGGGTTCATGAATAAACAACTTTCATGATACTTATTAAGTTGTGAATAATAATTCACTAAAACTCTTTATCATGCATAAAAATATTCTTTTGGATCTCACTTGTGACATGTTAGCCTTGAGGTTTGCTAACCCCAGGGTCGATAAAGGTTTCCCCATAAGGTCTGTTTGCAAGACGTCCGTTCATGTAATATCTTGTACGTGATATACAACATGCAAAAAACTTTTCATGCCTTGTGTAGAACATATAATAACATACCATCATACATATATCTTAGCTATATAAACATATCATCATTTCATGTAAAGCAAACATGCCAACACATCTTATCAAATTCTTTATAATGTACAAAATACATTCATATAGCATACATGTATCTCATAAACCTCATAACGTATTCATCTTGATTGCACCTAGCTATTCTTTGGATTTCTTACTTCAAATTTGGTAATTTATTGAGAGTGATTTCTTACTTTGGTATGAAATAACGGTTTCATTTCAAATATTTATAGGTGAATACAATGCATTAACTACTACTTCTTATTGCTCGCATGGTTATACTCTTATGAGTAACAGCTCATGCTTAAGATAAAAAAATCTTGACACATCATGCTTCTAGCTTTTAATTGTCATGCTCACTAGAGAGTTTAATAGCTCATGCTCACGATAAAAGAATCTTGACACATCATGCTTCTGGCATTTAATTGTCATGCTTACTAGATTTGCTTTCTCATCAAATAGCTTTGACAACACATAGTTCTAGCCTTTACAACTCATAACTAGCTTGCTTTATCATGCTTACTATACTTGCTTTGTCATCAAATAGTTTTGCCAACACATACTTCTAGCCTTTACAAATCATAATTAGTTTGCTTTATCATGCTCACTAGACTTGCTTTGTCATCTATTTAGGTTTGATTTCTCATTTTTTTTTGCCTTTAAGCTACTTGTAAGCTACTTGAAATGAAATTATGATGATTTTAAAGATGCTACTGCTGCTGGAGCCTTTTTAGAGTACTTAATTTGATCATAATACTTGTATTTTGAGGCTTAATACATTGAAATCTAACAAATATAGAACTAGGGGGTTATAAGAAACATTATTACAATCCATCATTCCCATTAAAACTGCAACAATTTCAATCATGATATCCCATGAAAAATATAAGGTTTATACTTTCAGGAAGTGTTGCAACTTGCAACTTAAAATTACTATTTACACACTATAATCCCATACAAACTACAAAAACTAGATGATAGTGATTTGGCTTTACAATATTCCATTATCATTTTCATATTTGGTACACTTGTCAAAAAGTCAAAAGTATTCTAGAAAACAATGTGGCCAGTGAATCATTGCAAATTTCATGGTTCATAGTGTTCCACAATTTGAGATGGTCTTCTTTATTTAATCCGCTCCAGGAGAGAGGGAAGAGATTTCTGTGAAGACTATAAACCAGCTTCATATTCCTAATTCGACATAACATATCTCAAGCATCACAGTATCACACAGCCACTAACAAAGTATCATCTATACTATATTATACAGCATTTGATAAAAACTCTTAAAAACCACTTTTTATGCATGAAGTACTGTTTATTGATGCATATTACTTAAAATTCAAGATTACAAGTAAATTGTGCGTAAGTACAACTTATTAAAGATTTATGTTTGAACTCGTGTAACTAACTTCAGATAAACATAATCAAATAGAGGATAAACATTTTCTTTTAAATATAAAAAAAATATAATTATGATGATCATTAAGTTCTAACAAAATACTTAATTATTATTTTTATAAAAAAATATATTATTAAACTAAATATAAAAAAATGAATTAAATAAAATACACAAAAAAAAGAGAAATTTTAAATAGTTAGTTTGGTATTAATATCAATATTTTTTATAATATCTTCATATTTATATTTTATTCAAAAATAAAAACAGTATCGTATTCTCAAAACCACATAAAACCTCATTATAATATCGACTAAAACAAAAAAAACGAAACACTAAAATCGAGATGTATCTCGCTGCACTGCACGAGTACCCCACTGCACGAGTACCCTTCCAGTCTAATATTAAGGCTAAATTGTAAGTACAATGAAAACTTAAAACTGGATGATCGAGAATGAATCTCTAAAGACATCATCCAGCAAAAAGTGATAAATTGATTGGGAAAAAACCTGTTTTGGAAGACGAACAATCTGAAAATTAAGGGAAATGTCGTTGAAGACGTAAGAGAAGCAAGTGATCTGCAAGCTACTTTCATCTTCTTCTGGAACCTTTGAGATCCCCAAATTCAGAAATTCATTCATAATATCAGTACCACCACTAGCTTTTGTCATTGACGGTGACTCTTGTTCAAGACCGGTCCTGAGATTTTTAATGCCAAGAGCAGAAAAGCCAATAAAAAGCCCCTAATATATGGAGAAAAGCAGACAAAATATATTATTTTAAGAGGTTTGGAACCTATTCAAGCTACGCGAATCATCCCCACGCCAATTTTTATTAAATATAACAAAATGATACAACATAAACCAAAATCCCGAATAGCTAAAAACACAAAATGCATCACCCAAAACAATGTCTTTGTGCGCTTTTTGAACAAAAAATATCAATTACCTTATCTTAGTTAACATTTGCTACAAGCTTATTTTCAACATAAAATTTCCAACCCGTTCAATCTTTCTTGGCTCATTGTAGACCGCAAATATGACAACCAACACTGAGATTTTTGGTGCCCACGGCGAAAAGTCCAAATGATGCCCAATTAAAAACATCCAAGTGTGGTAATTTACAATTGTCTAGCTTTTTTCTTAGTAGACCGAGAGATCCATTAGTGTTTTTTGTTCATAAGTGTGATCTTATAGTTGAGTGTTTGCTTTAAAATAATATGTTAAGGTTTCATTAATCAAGTTGTTATAACCCTTGCATTTAAACACCAACTCATCTACTTGTCCAAAACCAAAATAAGGAGCATCATAACACCAACTCGTCTACTTGTCCCCATTTACTACATCCTACATCTTCTGTATAAACCAAAATCAACACTCATACCTTTTCAATCCAACTCTAAACACTTAATTGGTTGGTTCTTCTTCAATTATTTACACTCTACAACATCAATGGCTCATTCCTACTTCACTAATTYTGTCCTCCTAGTTTTAGTCACTTAAGGTGTTTGCCTATGAAATTAGCTATTGCATGACTCTATTAGTCCATCATGTGTTTCATATAATCATATTTAGGGTCTTGACCAATGACAATCATGAGTTTCATATGTAAAATTGCAAAGTTAAGGGAGAACACTCAAGTGAATTAGCTAYTGCACATTCAAGTGAGGGCAAATCATCACTTAACTACTGCACATTTATAGGTYTGTTCAACTGTATTATAGCTGCTGAAATTGTGTTAATATACATCAAAATCTAATGGGATTAGAACAAAAATGGGTGGATGATAACTTGAATATTAATCACAGAACAAAGAACTAAAACTCCAGAGACAGGCTTGATTGAATCAATGAACAACTAGATCAATTAATAGCAATAGTATGATGCTTTGACTGTTTGACACACAGCAATGTCTGCAAATAGAAGTGAGTAACCCGACACATTTCATGGATTTTATTTAGAAATTGCAAAACGAAACAACCCCAAAACAGCCACAAGTCCCAACCTAACTAATGTTGACACTTGACAGAAAACCTAAGTAGGCAATTAGGCATACATTGATACATACAGTATTAGTATATTACATCTTCCAATTTGTAATGTTGTTTACAAATTGCAGAAAACAGGGGTGCAGGACAGCTTCATTTTAAATTTCTAATGTTGTTTAAATTACAGAAAACCTAAGTAGGCAATTAGGCATACATGATACATACAGTATTACATTTACAGCTTTAAAGCTTAAAAGAAAACCCAAGTATGGAGGGCAAGTGGGCAACATCTATCTAGATTATGAATTAATCAAGCAAGAACTAGAAACATAAAAAATAAAATAAGTAAAGTAAATAACCCTAACCTCACAAGTCACAAGTATTCAGATTTTGAGCGGTCCCCGGTCGATAGTCGAGACTCGAGAGCGAGAGGCGAGACTCGAGAGCCGACAGTGTTAATTTGAGATCTCGATTCGTGAATCGTGAGTTCAGAGTGGTGATTTGAAATTTGGATTCGTGAATCGGTTCATGAGCGAGGCGGGAGTTGGAGGACGAAAGAGAGAGCGAGTGAGGCTAAGCTAATTGACGATCACCAAATCAAAACTGAACCTATATATATTAGATGCCCTTGGTCTTTATTATGACTAATGAAACTACGAAAGTTAACGTAACACCAACAAAACAACTATCCAATTCCAAAACCTTAGCCTATCAACCGAATTGAAGTCGGATAAACAAACTAGTTTCGGCTATTCAAAATGAAAATTGCAGTCAAATAAATAAAAAAACATGTATTAAAGAAGCATGAACCTGAAGCATTCATCATATATTAACATTCACGATTCATAAGCAAAACCAAATTCGACTCGAGTATCAGAGTATGTGAGAATTGAGATGTGAGTCTTGAGTGCTACTGTGCTATCGTAAGCAATCCAACAATGCAAATATTCAGCAACAAATTAATATAACTTGAGTCCTATCAAATAATAAAACATCAATGAAATATGAAAACTTGGAAATTGTTGCCCACTTGCCACTTCGGCTATTCCAGATCCAACCAAAAGTTAGTGAATCGCTAAACTAAACATATAGATGATGACAACCAACCAGTAATTAAACTCTGGTAATCTGCTAATCGCGTGATGAATGAATCAAATCGAGGGTGGAAACATTTAGGAGGTTAGGGTTCTTCAAATCGAATTGTTGAACTTGAACACGACAAATCGAGAGGTGCCTCTTGCAATCAAATCGAGATTCGAGAGTTACAGAGTGAGGATTGGAGATGTGAGAATTTCCTGAAATCGATCGAGCGCAGGGCAGCATATGGCAGATTTATCATATCAAAAAGTATTAAAAATAATTTTTAATTTACAAATTACTATAGATTTATACACAATATCTTAAAATCAACTCATAATGCATTAGGTACTATTATTTTATATATTCAGGTGACGTTTGTTTTTAAGAGGTGTTGAAGTCTGAAATCTGAATCAGTCGGGCTATTTGTTTTTACATCTAAAATTTGAATCAGTCAAACTGTTTGTTTTTACGTATGAAGTCTGAAATATGAAATCTGAATCAGTCAGACTGTTTGTTTTTACGTCAGAAGTCTGAAATCTGAATCAATTCATTTCAATTAAATTCAACTGAAATATCCATATATTTTGAACACATTAAAAATTCAACTGAAATACGTCAATTGATTCAACACATAATAAAAAAACAAACAAAGTCTCATAACAACTAGAATTAATATTATTTTGCATTAATTGTGTCACAATTTCTTCTCTTAAACTAGCCATATATGTTTGGTCTGAGACACTCCCATGCGATTGAACCTCTTCAGCCTTATCCTTGTCATCGTTCCCTTGTTCGTTGGTTTGATCATACTTAGAAAATAACCTATCACTTAAACCTTCTTTTCGTATGAAGTTGTGAACCACAAAACATGCAATAACAACGTCTCTCTGAACCTCAAGTGTAAATGATGCAAATTCTTTTCAATATTGGAAAACGTGCTCTCAGGACACCATAAGAACGTTCAATAACATTTCTAAGTTTTGCATGAGAATGATCAAACTTTTCGTACTTGTACATTGCTCGTCGACGAAGAAAATCTTCGAGCCAATATTTAACATTACGATACGGCGCCAAAAATCCTCGAGTATTTGTATACGCAGCATCACATAGATAATATTTATCTAAAAACAATAAATAAAATGTTTGTTCAAATGAATATAGTAAATATATTACTTGTAAAATCAATAGAATACTTGAAGGAGAAAATGGAAATCCAATAGCACCATCTGTTAAAGCTTCATATAAAACTCTAGAATCATGTGCAATTCTTTTACATCCGGCAACAACAAATGTAAAAACCATGTTGAAATCACAAATTGCCAAAACATTTTGATAACATTTACCCTTTCCTCGTCCTCTATATAAATGTTGTTCTTGAATAGGGACGATAGCATGAATTAAAGTTCTATCCAAGGCGCCAATTGCTCCCTACATTAAAGCTAATAGTCAAAATAAATTTAGTAAGGAAAGTTATACAACTATTATCGAATTATGATTTACCATAAATATTCATCGTAACCTTCTATTATTCCCCGGGATGTCTGGATTAGGATTGAATGATGTAGGAACTATGATCTTTTTTGCAAACTCTATTATTTTATCCAACACTTCATGAAATTTTTTATGAACTGTTTGTGTTGAGTGTTGGAACCTGTTTTTCTATAACGTTGATTGTGACTTATAATCATCAGGAAGATAGCCATCTTTTCTTTGACCAATATATGTTTGCTATCCGTTAACCAATCTTTTGCTTTAAAGTGATCATATAGTAGAATGAAAGCTTCACGGGACATTCGCAACAACTCAATACATTGTCGATCACTAGCTTCAAGTAGCTCATCCGTAAATTGACGTCCAGTCATTGCAAACGTATTATCTCTTTTCCTTTTCAAACGCTTTTGTCGCAAATAGAACATATACAAGAATACGACGATGAGAAGTATAGTTTTTTTTATTTATTATTGTCAATGATGATTTGATTATTATCCATGATAAACCTGTTAAAAACATAAATAAAATTAAAAATAGAAGTAAACTCTAATATCAAATGCATTACCAAATAACAACTTGTTCAACATCCAAAAAACGTAACCAAATAGTCAAACATCAAACACATAAGCAAATAACATGTTCAAATACAAAACACATAACGAAGTAACTTGTTCAAATTCCAAAAACTAATCCATGAGTCCCAATCGTCTTGCCGTCCTTGAAATCCATGATGTTAATATATCAGCATCTGAAGGGATCGTCAACCATGTCTCTCTTAATAATGTTGACTGCCCAAAAATGTCAATGGCTGCACCATAAAGATGACTCCTTTTATCAAGGCCAAGAGTGTCCAACCGTTCAATACAAACATTTAGGTTTGAGGTTTGTTGTGCAACAAGTGCGGTTTGTTGTGTAACAAGTGTGGTTTGTTGTGTAACAAGTGTCTGAAGTGCACCCCTCATTTCTAAAGCCAATGCATCCATGTCGACCTTGGTTTTACTCTTCTTATTCGGTCTAGACGGAGTTGTGCTCGCTTTATTGAAAGTTGGTCCTTCCTCCTCATATCCATCCACCTCATTTTCAGTATCTTGAGTAGTATGGATATTAGATGTGAACGATGATGATGAAATCGTAGTCCTCTCACATGTTGAACTAGGGGCATAAGCACGAGATCCGGTAACAGAAGTCTTCTCGAACAAAGCTATACATAATTCAGGATATACCAATGGCGATGTCTTTAAAGTTCTTGCTTTTGGTTGTCCCTGCATCCAAATTAAATATAATTATTTATATAATACCCATGTTTTTGTCTTTAACATCTAAAAAGGTAAAAAAGAATAAAAACTAACCTTGAAGAAAGCTTCCCGTTCTTGATTAGTTAAGGTGAACACGTATTCATTTATGGGTCATAAATTTTCCCTGTTCTATTCCTTAAGTACACCGATCCTGAATACTTTCCCTTTAAATAATCATATTGATTTTTCAATTGCTTTTGGGTGAGTTTTACATGGCACACTTCCTTAAGTATGGTTGCCAACTTCACCCAAGTTTCTTTGCGAAGACTACCTCCATTTCGACCCACCTTATTAATTTCTACAATACAGGTCTCTAAAAAGCGTTTGGTAAGTTCATTTGTCCACCTCACACGCACATTCTCGTCCATCACTAATTAACTCTTCATCCTCTCTCTCTCATTGATTTTGATGATAATCTCTTTTACCTATTACGAAGTATTATTTTTTTTGTCTTTCAGTTCCAAAACTCACACCAAAGAACCTTCAGCGAAAGTCGAAGACTGAGACTGAAGATTAGTGACTGGCGCATTCGTGATCTAAAGCAGCATTCAGTGATTACACCTTGGTCAATATATATGTGAAGATTGCCCAAGCCTCAGCGAATGTTGAAGAGACCTTCAGTGTTACTCCAACATTCATCGATCAAATGAAGCTTGTTATGTAAGATTGTTTTTGTCTTGTCTTTCCACACACAAAGGACAAACCTATACCCTTTCTAGAGTATAGTATGGTACAGAGCCGACTAGTTGACTCTATTACCCACCACCTCCACGAAAGGATGTCTGCTCATGAATAGGCTTTTGTACTATTCACTGTAGCAAATGACAAGCTTTTCTTTAAAATCTTGATGCATGTTCAAACCCTACTGCATTGCATTAAATGTGCATTTAATGTAATGAGTATAAATAGATGTGTGCTCTCTCCATACGGAGATACGAATTCTTACGTGAAAACACACACACACACATCTAAAAGAACACTTACGCTTATCTTCAAGCAAGTTAGAATCCCTCTCAAGTATTCTAAAAGTTCTTACCCAAGAAGAACTTATTTCCTTTTTTATATTTCAACAAATCTTTTCTCTTTGCTAAGAATATATGTGTAAACTTAGATTGTTTTAGATAGGTTATCTTTACCTTGTCTATTTCCACATACAATCTTTTAAAAATCTGTATTGATCTTTCTTTGTCAATATATATTTTTAAATTTGAAGTTCTCTGTGTTTGTATTCATCCCCCCTTCTACAAACTGTTTCTATCAAACTCTTGTAGACCCAACCGGGACCAACAAGTGGTATCAGAGCAGTGTTTTCTTTTCTTTTTATTTAATTGTTTTCTGTATTTTATTATCTCTCTCTCTCTCTAGATAATTTACTGCTTTCAAATAGCTTTGCAAAATACAAACACAAACTTTCACGACAATGGCTCTCTTGCCAAACCTTCCTGATTTATCAGAGATAACTTTAGTCTCTGGACAAATTGGATGTCTCTCTTCTTGTAGGGTGTGGATCCTGAAATTCCACACTATATAGAAAATGGACCTTATGTTCCATATACTATATCTCTGGTTGTTCCCGAAACAGCTACGACTGCCATGATTCCTGAATGGCAGATTCCTAAGCTCCCTCATCAGTGGAGTGAAGAGGACAAGAAGAAGATAGCTATAGATACTCGTGCGAGATCTATAATAGCTATGTCTCTTCCTGACGAGGTCTATCACTCTATGATGAAGCTTAGAACCTTGAAATCCATGTGGGACACTCTATGTGTTCAATATGAAGGTACCTCTCAGGTACAAGAATCGAGAAAGATAAACTTAATAAGACAATATGAAAGCTTTCTATGTGGAAAGACTAAGACGTTGTCTGAAGCACATCTCTTCTAATTGATTTAAGGACAGTTGGCAAAGAATATTCCAATTCTGAAACTTTAACAAAGTTTCTGGAATATTTACCAGAATCTTGGGATACCTATTCTATGTGTCTCAAGATGTCCAACGATATGTCATCTCTCTCTTAGCACCTTATATGGGATACTGCTCAATCATGAGCAGTCTCGTCAACTGAAGAGGAATCTAATAAAAGATTCTAGAGACATGAAAAGCTCTCCGTTAGCTTTGATCTCTAAAGATTCTTTAGTTGAACTCCCATCTTCTTCTTCTTCTAGTTCTTCCTCCTGTTACTATAACTGAGTTAGACTCTACTAACTCTAAGGATCTGTCAGAGTCTGACCTTGCAGACTTTAATAAATCACTGATGATTTTAACCAAGTCTTTTAGAAGATTCTCCAGGAAAAGTAATTTCTGCAGATTTCCCACGCTGACCATTAAGGTAAAGCCAAAGTCATATACTATTGATAAGGCTTCAGCGTTCTGCTACAATTGTCACCGTAAAGGTTACTTTGCAGGTGAATGCAGGTCAAAGAAGGCTGTGATGCCATCTTCGAAATC